GTGAGGATTAAGGTGTAGAGATATGAAAAAAGGGCCGAAAAATTACAACCAAACAAAACTCAGAAGGCACTAAAATCCAGTTCCAGGCATTTAAGGTGGCTTGAAAAGAAAAAGTCTTTGTTTCACCCCGCCAGAAATTTTTGGATTTTTACAGAGATATTTGTGACTAAAAGCATAAAATGCACCTGGACTTTTCAAGGTTCCTGAGACTGAACATGTGTATCAACAGAGAAAGCGTCGATGAAGAAAGATGCAGCCGAGAGGCAGCTTCCAGGACACCAGAATTAAATTAACAGGCCGTTTGTGAGCGATGTGGTTTCTTAGTGACTTCTTCTTCAGCTCAGCCAAGAAACAGTTTGGTGCCTCATAACTGATAAAACAGAAAATTAGTGACTTTACGCTGTGGTTTTGGTGTGAACAGTCGTTATGAATACTTAGATCCCCACTGACCTTTAGTGTTCATGCTCCAATGCTGTGAAATAAAAATAAAACAATGTTTATTTCCCAGCAGCCACCTGGCCTCCCTGTGCGGCAGTCATCACAGGAAGTGATGTCAGTGAGGAACTTCTAGAGGTGCTTGTATGTGAATCTCCCCAAATGTGTTTTTCACCCCCATCGAATACAGAACATTTACTGGTTGGATGTTTCAGGACCAGTAAAGGAAATCAACACCAGTGACTCTGTTGTATCTTCTTCTGAACATTTTATTGGTTTCCAAAAAAAAAAAAAAGAAAAAAAAGAATAAAATAAAAATAGAAAGTAATTTTTTCCTCCAAAATAATTTCAATGCTGAGAAACTGGACGGTTACGACGGAGGAAAGCTGCTGGGGCGATCACAGTGACGCCTCGGCCCGTCCCTGCTCCTCCTTCTTGGCCAGCGGAGGAGTCGGGGAGAAGAAGCTGCGTTTAGGAAGAAGCGACAGGAAAAATAATGAAGGGACGTGGAGGAGAGGTAGGGAGGCGATGAGTACGAGAGCATCTACCGGATCCTGAACAGTAAAAACACCAACTAGGGGAGAAAAAAAAACAAAAATCTTCTGGGGAATTCTAAAACTTGGCAACTTCACTAATGTTTACATCTTGAAAGTGAGAAGACGAGAGTAATAAAACGACTAATCCTCTTTTATTCACATGAAGTTAAATCTAAATCCCTTTAACGCTGAGGCGGCCGTCTCCCGGTCGGAGCGGACCTCTTTCTGAAATAAGGCATCTGTAGTGCTGTCAACTGGAACAACACGTGCATACAGCGAGAACGGCGTGGACGCGGCACGACTAGATCAGAACGGCTGAAGGAGGGACGGGTTCTTCGATTCCCCTCCGGCTCTGTTTCATCTCAGGCAAAAAAACAACTAGAACAGGGCTGATGTCTAAAACAGAGATATGACGGCAGCACAGAGATCACAGGATAAATAGCCGAAGCGTCGCCGCATGTGTGCGCGTGAAAGAGCCAACGAGCTGCGGTAAACAGTGATATGTTCTGAAGGCTGTTTCTAGGAGGTGGAGGAGGAAGGCAGGAGAGGGGCTGGGGGAGGCGGGGATCGATAGCGGGAGGGTCGGAGGAAGGGAGAGAAGTGCGGCTCGCCATCGGACGCTTATGTGAAGGTGAGTCCGGCCTCGTTGTACACTTTGAAGACCTTCTCGATGGCGTTGACGTAGGCGGCCGTCCGCAGGTCCAGGCCCAGGTTGTACTTGCTTGCCGTGCGCATGATTTGCTGCAGAAAGGTGGAAGAGAAGGCGTCATGCATGTTGCATAGCGGCAGCAGCTCATGTGGTCAGTTTTAACCCATCATGGGGCAGGTGACCATATTTGGTAACTTCCTTGGACGCTCAATATGTCCACCATGCAACAAGATGCTCCTGCAGTAAACATCAAATCTGANCACATAAATGGAAACACTCACATACAGTGAACGACACACACACACACACAGAGAATGGGCAAAACGAGTGGGTGGTGTGCAACTGAGGCAGGGCGTGAGAGGGCGCGCGAGCTGCAGTCACTACTGTGTGTGTTAAGCTTGTGTGTGCATGTGCTGCTGCTGCTGCTGCTGCTGCTGCTGCTGCTGGCGTATTAGATAAAACCTCCAGAGGCTCGTGCAGGGAGTCCAAGACGGATCGTGTGTAGTAGTTAGTCACAGTAGACTGCATGACCAGATGTGTAGGACGACTCGTCACGTGTTAACTAGAGAGTAGCAGCTGTCCCGTCGTAGCTTCGTATGGCTTCAGTGTGTCGTCGTTTCGTCTCAGCGTCGTAGAAACAGGGTTGAAAAAAATAAGAACTACTCGTGTGCTCATGTGGCAGGCCGTTTGACAAAATTGTAATTCCAGATAATAGTAAGTGTTAAAGCGGCTCGTCGTACGCCATCATTAATGTCAGCTGTTAGAGCGGCGGTGTGATGTGATGCATGAGGAGGCAGTTTCTAATCTTTCTCTATGTCGTTTTCTGTCGGGGTTAAAGGAGTTAAACTGGGAAGGAAGCTCACGTTTAAATTAACGGATTCATTCGCTGAGTGTATAGGATAAGTGTTGCTTTAATTGGATTTGACTGGAGATATTAATCATCTAACAATATTGAATGAATCTCCTTTTTTGCATCAAGAGCACATGGTAGGTTCAATTTGTGCAAAATGATGGACAAAAGAAATCAGATTATTTCCTAAATGGTGGGATTAGTTTGAGTTTTAAACCATTTGACGGAAATTTAAATGAAAAATTGGACTTTAACGGTTAAAAAATGTTCAAAAATGTGCATTCAAGGAGGAAACGTTCTTCTGTAGAAGCTTTTCGTTGTCTTTGTGAAAGTGGTTTGCATGCCGTCGAGAGAAAGTCGGGACGTTAGTTAATTCTGCGATTTAATCCGTGAAGAGCAGAATTAAAGTTTTTTTTAAATCATAGATCAGCTTTTGTGTGTAGTTTGGTGTGTAGCTTGAATTCTGGGATGTGTAGTTGTTGTTTTTTTCTTTAGTGAACTTTTTTTTTTACTTTACACTAACTAGTGTGGCTGCTCTGAAGCTCCCGCCCATCGACTTGTCTCGGCCAATCAGACGACTCCTTTTCTTCCGGTCCACTGCCTGTCCGGCCCAGCATCAGCGCGTGTGTGTGTGTCCGTGTGCACTGTATGCGTGTGCGTACGTGTGTGTGTGTTGACGTAGAACAGGTTCAGCCAGCAAAGTGTGTGTGTGTGTGTGTGTGTGTGTGCGTGCGTGTGTTTGTGTCTAGAGCAGGTTTGTGTGTTTTTACTTTGAGGCCAATGGAAACTGATGACTGCATGTTGCCTTATCAAGCAATCTCACATCCACACACACACACACACACACACACATGCACACACACATGCACAACGCACCACATGACACACTCTGAACAGCACACGACCACAAACCCCACCACGAACACACACACACACACGAACACGAATCACGCACCATGTTTAAGTTGGCATCAAAGCAGACTCGCTGATTTTATAAACAGTACCAGTGAAATTAAAGAGGTTTTGTTGAAATCCAGCTTCGGTGTCACGAGTTTATTTTGAAGATGTGGGTGATGAGTGAAGAAAACCTGATGGATGATTGAAGTCTTCACAGTTTGACCTCTCGGCTTGAAGGCTGTGAGACGATGCTGAATCAGGTTTCTTGCGGGCTGCAAGGTGACTCAGTGGT